AAGAAACTTTGCGACATGTTTAGAAGTGATATTCACGTAAGAAGCAGCCTCAATCTACTTAGTAAAGTAGTCGATGGATACTAATACGTACTCGTGCTCTCCTACTCCTGTTGGAGAGATTTTTCCAATTTTGTCAACTCCCAAGTTGAAAAAGGCCAAGGAGAAGTGAGATTGTATAGTTCGGATGGTGGAAGGTGTTTTAAATTAGCGAACATTTGACACTCTGGACATTTTTTAACATATTGTATGCAATCATGTTCTATAGTAGACCAATAGTACCCTTGTCGTGAAATTATTTTTGAAAGCATTATACCATTCATGTGAGTTCCACAAACACCTTTGTGAGTATTTTCCATAAGGTGTGTGGCTTCAGGTTGGTCTATACACAATAAACTTTGACCATTAGGTCCTTTTTTGCATAATTGACCATTTAATAGACTATATTGGGCCGCGAGTGTTCGTAAGGCTCGTTGGTCTTTTGATGAAGTATTTCGAGATATATGCCATGGGTAATATATTGGAGGATATGATCATACCAGGGACTGTCTCCTTCGATGTAATTTATTTCCTCTATTGCGTTGCAATATGCTGGTTCTTCTCTTCTATCGACCTATAATGGCATCATATTTAAGTGATCTAGGATGTTGATCATTGAGGCTAATTTTGCTAGCTCATCGGCAAATTGATTGTCATCCCTTGGGAGATATTTAAAATCAATATGTTTAAAATGCTCGATGAGTTGCTCTAGGTGTGCTTGGTATAATATCATTGTGGAGTTCTATATTTTCCATTTTTTTAGTATATGATTTATAATCAAACCGGAATTTTCATATACCTCTACTTTTTGCACACCTATGCTAGTTGCTGCTTCTAATCCAATAATGCACGCTTCACATTCTACGACATTATTGGTAACCTCAAAGTCTAGTTTAACAGAGATTGGAGAATGTGCTCCCTCTAGACTTATGAGTAACACTCCTACGCCACATCCTTTTTGATTGGACGCACCGTCGAAGTACATTACCCATTTGTCATAGTGTGTCATGAAAATCTCTTCATCCGGAAGATGAGTAGTTTCTGCATGACATGTTTGAATTGGATGTTGTGCTAGAAAGTCAGAAATTACTTTGCCTTTCATTTATTTTTCATGAATATATTCTAACTCAAATTCGGCTAACATCACCACCCACTTATATATCCTTCCTTGTATAGGTGGTAGTTCAAATAAATACTTTATCGGGTTTTGTTGAGAAATCACATGAGTAGTGTGTGGTAGCATATAATATCGTAATTTTTTAGTTGCCCACACTAATGCTAGGCTTGTCTTCTCCAAGGTGCTATATTTCGTTTCATATTGAATGAATTTTTTACTTATGTAATATATTGCACGCTCGACTTTTTCTACCACTTGTGCAAACATGGCACCTGTAGCTGTGTCTGTAACTATAATATATAGCCTACAAGGTAGTTTGGGTACTAGTGGTGCTAAAATTGGTGGACTTTTGAGATAATATTTGATTTTCTCAAAGGTCTTTTGGCATTTATCGTCCCAGTGATGTTTCTCGTCTTTTTTCAATTTTTTAAATATTTGCTCACAAGTCATAGTCAATTTGTAGATAAATCGACTAATGGATTGTAGTTTCCCAAGGAATCCCCTAATTTCTTTTTTTGTTTGAGGGGGAGGCATGTCAATAATTGCCTTTATTTTAGAGGGATCGATCTCGATGCCACGCGTGCTTAATACGTATCCGAGTAACTTGCCAGAAGTTACTCCGATGGTGCATTTTTGTGGATTCAAACGCATTTTGTATTCTTTTATGCGAGTGAAAATTTGCGTAAAGATTTTATATGTCCCATTCTATCTTTGGACTTCACGATCATATCATCCACATACACTTCTATTTCTTTATGCATCATATCATGCAAGGGATTCGTAGCCATTCTTTGGTACGTAGCTCCTGCATTTTGTAAACCAAATGGCATGACTGTGTAGCAATACGTACCCCAAGGGGTAATAAAGCATGTCTTTTATTCGTCTTCTTTTGCCGTTAAAATTTGGTTATAACCTGCGTATCCATCCATAAAGGATAACATCGCATGTTCAGCCGTGTTATCTACCAATATATCATTATGTGGTAGAGGAAAATCGTCTTTAGGGCTAGCTTTATTAAGGTCCCTAAAGTTGACATGCGAACTCGTCCATCATTTTTAGGGACTGGGACGATGTTCGCTACCCATTCTGGGTAATTACATATGCGAATAAAACCAGCGTCCAACTGTTTTTTGTACTTATTCTTTTATTTTTAAAACCAGGTTTCATTTATCGAAGTTTTTGTTTTACTTGTTTAGAGGTAGGGTTCAAGGGAATGGAATGTTTCGCAATTTCCCTATCTATTCCAGGCTTGTCCTGGTACGACCAAGCAAACACATCTTCGAATTCTTTGAGAGTCGATATGAGGGTCGATCGCGCTTTCGGATTTCGAGTTAAGCCAATTTTGACTTCTCTTTTATTTTCGTTAGTTCCTATATTAACTATTTCAGTTTTTTCAACGATAGAGTTCTTTTGTTCACGTCCATTCATTAGTTCAACCAATTTATTAATGTTATCATCTTCATTAGATTTAATGTTATAGCATTCGAAAGATTCAAGAGAAGGCATATACTCGAAAATAAAGCTCATATTATTAAAATCAAAAGAGAATACATCAAGAGAAGAATACTTTTTGGGATCTTCGTCCTCATAACTAGAAAATAAAGACTCAGTAATGGCCACAAGGCCTAGATTTTCAAATTCCCTAGATTCTATAATAGATTCATCGTCTGATTCTTCTAACATCTTCCCTTCGCCTGTGACGATTTTTAGCTTATCGCCTTTGTGATTGGTCCATTTGAAATATTTCCTCCATCCATGCTGAATAGTTTCATTTCAAGGGGTGATCAACGAGGTTGGGTAAAAAGCTTCATCTTGAATAGCGTTTTGATTGGTCATTGTACCGACATGATTTTGCTCTAGTCCAAATAGCAAGTTAAATGCTTGCCCATCATAGCACCCTGGAGTTGGGTGTTTTGATTTAACGATACTAAGATCGTAATCCAAGAAGTAGCAATCATGAAATATTTCAAATACAGGCTTCTTAATTCCTTCCAGAACTAAGGGTTCGGGAAAGTCATAGCATGGGTAATCTTCTCCCTCCCTAATGAATTGCCCATTAAGGGTTTGTTGATAGGATGGGAGTAAAGTGATTATCCCTTTCTTATTATTGTCTCTACGTGCTTTGTTTTTTGCATTAAGATACTCCGATTCTTCTTTGGTTGGTTTATATCCCATTCCAAAGGAGAAGAATTTCTTTGGGATAGGAAGTAAGAGAGATTTCTTCATTCTTATTCCCAAAGGCATCCTAGGAAAGTAACTACTCTTGAGTAAGATGTTGTTTACCATCCGAGTGGAATATGGATCAAGCTTGAATGGCTCTTCAAAGTCTATTTCCATTTTAATTGCGCAGATTAGCTCCGCAGCAAATCCCCACATGTCCTCTTCATCATTATCATGGTTTATTTCTAAGAGTGATTGATCATTTATTGCTATTTTGAGTGGTGAAGCATGTATAGTCATAAGAAGCCCTTGATAGTTCAACCTAATCATTTGATGAAGTGAAGATGGTATTGCACCAAGCTCATGTGTCCAAGAATGTCCAAGTTAAAGGTTGAATGTAGGTTTTATGTCAATAACATGCAATTCAACCATCTTTTTAATTGGGCCTGCGGTAATTGGTAGCTTAACATTTCCACACACCAATCTTCTCGAATTGTCTTAGGCCCTAATGCTTTGTGTTGTTGATTGAAAATCTTTTTTTGGATTAAGGCCTAAGTATTTTGTAGTTTGCAATGGGCATACGTTTACAGTTGACTCATTGTCTACCAAAGTTAGAGGGATATTGTACCTTTTTCACCCCACGGTCAAGTATAATGCATTGTTGTGGGTAGTGTCTTTTGAAGGTAAATCATCATTACTGAAAATGATTGATTTGTCGGATTTCTCGCTAGTAAGCAAGCTAACGTAATCTTGGGGGGTTGTGTTGGTGCTTATAGACAAAGACGTTAGAGCGTTCCTGAGACAATTCCTATGTTCTTTAGAAGTACTTAGGAGTTCCCTAATGCTAACATTCGCCTTGAATTGGCAAAGTTGTTTGATCAATGGATCTTCCACCTCAAGTGGAGGTGGTATTGGATTTTGTACTTAACCTTGAGTTTGATTTTGTGTGGTCGAAGCTCCATTTGGTGGTGGTGCTTGGTAGACTCGCCCAGAACGAGTTAAATGATCTATCTCGTTTGGGTTAGTTGTAGGACTCGCAAACCAACTTTCTTCTAGAGGCTTTGGATGTGCTTCCATTTCAAGATGTTCCATTAGTTGTGCTTGATGCCATTGTTCATCATGGAGAGATTTGATAAATCTTGCGACTTCCCCAAGAAATTATCTCAATCAAGCGCTCCATTTGTTTCATTTTGTAAACAAGATGGAGGTGGGACGGCGGCACACTTAGAGACATATAAGTCTACATACTTCATTAGTTGCCCCTATGAGTATTTTGGATAGAGGTTCTCCTATAGGTGTAATATAGTCCAAAGGATTGAACATATCACTTCTTATATGGTCCTCATCGATGTAAAACACCCCTGCAGGGGATGCATTATTGTATTTTGTGCTTTAAGACATAGAAATGTTCAGTATCATGTCCAACGCCTCTATGATAAGCACAATAAGCATTACCATCCCATTGAGAAAATCTTCTTTCTGGTAGAGTGGGTGGTGTTGGCCCAGTTGGTGCAAGTAAGCCTTTTTCATTTAATTTTTCTAACAATTCTTTATAGCTTACAGGAAATGGAGAAAATTTTCTTTCTTTTTTCCACCTCTTTCTAGGATCATCATATTGATTTGTGTTATTGTATTGTGTGGTAGTCGCAAATACGTCAATAAAGGATGATGTATTATCATTCACTACTACAAAACCCGCATATTTTAGACGCTTTTTCTTCGACGCTTTGGATGTGGCATCAGCGCACAATTTTTAGATCCGCTTTTTTCGACGTTTTTAGGTGTCGAAGGTTTGTTTCGACACATTAAAGCGTCGAGAAAATCACGAGTCTAACACGTGACTCCCTCACACCCTACTGCCCGCAATTTTAAAATTTTGTGAAAAAAAAGCGGGTTGTATCACTCCCAATTATTTAGTAAAAAAAAAAGGAAATACTCCCAAACCCAATTAAACCACCCACTATTGAAATACGACTAATAAACTTTGCTCGATCTCTACTGCACTCTGCGTCTCTGCTCATAGTCAAAGCTACAACATTCATCGCTTTTTTGTGTTAAATTCTGGGTTTCTTGCTAATTTTCAACGAATTTAGGCGATTTTGCTTTTCACTTTCAAAAATTTCAGGTAATTATTCACAATTTGCTTCACAATTTTTGGTACCCTAATTGTTCACAATTCGTTAAATTTTGTTAAATTTGGGAATTATTCTTTGCATGTGTTCGATTTACAATTAGAGTAGAACAAGAATCGATCTCTTATTGCAAGGTAATTTTTTTCCCTTAATTAGATAATTGAAATTCTTTTTTTGTTCTTTTTTTCGTGAATTTTGTTTTCGAATTTCAGATTTCCTTGTTGTTGTTGTATTTTTTTTAAAAAGTTTTTTATGGGGTTTTGTGATGAATTTGATGGCGTTTTCTAGGGTTTTAGTTTGGGATTTTTCAACTATGAATAATATAGGCTTTGAATTTTTTGGTTTTTGATATGAATTTTATACGCTTTGAATTTTATGGGTTTTTGATATAAATTTTCTGGTTTTTATATGGCGATTTGGTGGCTGATGATTACATTATGTCTTCACATGGTATGCTCTTATAAGAAATACTCATTCCCTTATAAATCATTAGGCAACAACCCCAATACTCACGGCCTGTTGTTGATGAATCAAGTCTTATTGTTGAGCCTAGAACTCTTGTTATATATGAAGACTGTATGCTCTTATAAATCATTAGACCACAAACTTGCTATATATGAAGACTGTATGCTCTTGTTTGATAACTCATAAATTGATCCACATCTGAAACATTATAGATTTTTGCTGTGAGCTAATTATTGTTATAAATTTGCAGTCCCAAAATCCCAAATAGAATCTTTTAGAAGATATTAGTTCAAATTCAAGCTATTAAACTATAATTCGACAATTTGAAAAAGTTGAGCCTAGAATTCCATTCTAATTTTGAAAATATCTAATCTGAACTAATAACTTGATGTGATGGATTTATATAACACCCAAATAATGTATATCTGAAGTTATAGCTTTTTTGGACAAAGCATGGTTTGATGACGGATAGATTGTCATATTTGTATCTTTCATAGGTTATGTAGAGACTTGTTTATAATGCATTGTTATCAGATGGATGCTGCCTATTTTTTGCTTAATCTGTCACTCTAGTGATCATTGCTCAAATTGCTAACTGATGTAGGGATCTTTCATTCAACAAACTATGTGGCAGCTTGCCTAAGAGTTTTAAATCTCTTTCAAGCCTTTCTACGCTGTAAGAAATAATTGCATATACCTTTGTGCCTGATTTTCATTGCATCAAACATTGATATATTTATAATCTTGTCTGATTTTGTTATGATTCTGTAATTGACTTTATATTTATAATCTTAATATATTTATGATTTTCATTGCATCAAACATTGATATATTTATGATTTTCATTGCATCAAACATTGATATATAACTCTTTATTTGTTGTTGCATGTTTCTTTCTAATTTTCTTCTTTCACCACTCAACAAGTTTGTAGGCTTGAATTACTTACATTATTTTTAAGTGGATAAAATTCTTGATATTATAAGTTTGATGGATGTCTATTTACATAGTGAAAGTGATGTCCCTATTATATATTGGTTTAAGGATCCTTGTAACATGATTTTTTTTTTTTTTAATGTCATTGTTTTTAATTAGCAATTAATTATATACTTCTTTGTAGACATGGATACTAGTTGGATTGATTTACCAAGAGGTGATCCTGGTTATTTTAAAAGATGCATGAACTTCTTGAAACTTGCTAAAGAGGCTCTTTTACCAAATGCATGGGAAACTAAATGCCCATGTAATAAGTGCAAGTTAAATAAAACGAATTCTGTAGAAGAAGTTGGAGGCCATATTTTATTTTTTGCTTTTTATAAAAGCTATAGAAATTGGATATTTCATAGTAAAGATGAAGGAAGTAAGACATATGATCTGAGTGATGATCAAGTAAATGCAGTAGGTCGAGATGATATGGACAGGTTACTAAGAGCAACTTTTAGAGTTAATACACGACAAACCGACAAAACTCAAGATACATCATTTAATGAACAAAGTATTGAAGATGACAATTCATATGACATGGATGAGGGGTTTACCATTTATCGCGAGGTAGATGATGAGTATCAATCAACTTTCTCAAATGAAGAACAGGCAAAGTATAAAAATCTCATGGAAGCTTCTGAAAAAGGCCTGTACGAGGGGTGTACTACTTTTTCAAAACTTTCTTTTCTATTGCTTTTGTTTCACCTAAAGTGTATGTTCCATTGGTCTCCAGAGTCATTTAATAAATTACTTGAACTTCTAATTGACGCATTTCCCATTATTAAGGAGTTTCCATCGTCCTATTATGAAGGCATGAAGATAATAAATGATTTAGGGTTAGGATATGAGAAAATCCATGCATGTCCAAATGATTGCATGTTATATTGTGGCGAATTCGCAAATAAAAGTGAGTGTCATATATGCCATACATCAAGGTGGAAAAATGTGAAAGATAAGGATGGTGATGTAAATGAAAAAGGGAAAGAAGCATGTAAGAAAGGCGAGGCAGCTAAAGTAATGCGGTACTTTCCCCTTATTCCTAGATTAAAGAGGCTTTACATGTCATCTAAAACTGCAGAGGACATGAGATGGCACTTTAATCGTAAGAATGATAAGATTCTCTGACACCCTATTGATGGCGAGGCCTGGAAAAAATTTGATGAAAAATATACAGAGTTTGCCGCTGATCCTCGCAATGTTAGATTAGGCCTAGCGAGTGATGGTTTTAATCTATATCGTCTAATGAACACAAATTATAGTACATGGCCGGTGGTCTTCATTCCTTATAATTTACCACCATGGCTTTGCATGAAACCATCATCCTTTATTATTTCTATAATTATTCCTGGTAAATTTTGTCCCAGTATATGGATATGGATATTGATGTGTACTTGAACCACTAATCCATGAATTGAAATTATTGTGGGAAGGTGCTGATGCTTTTGATTCTTATAGTGGAAGCAACTTCAAACTGTGAGCAGCCCTACACTCTACTGTTAATGACTTTCTTTCTTATGCTATGATGTCTGGTTGGAGTACGAAAGGCTACAAAGCTTGTCCTTCTTGCACTCATTCTACTTATTCAGATAGATTTGGTGGCAAAATTATCTACCCTGGATATTGAAAATGGTTGCCTATTGATCACTGGGAAAGAAGAATATGGTATTGCTCCGATTCGTACCAGCGGGACTGAAGTTTTGAAGCAACAAGAAGGGGTAAAGTATGTATATGGGAAGATAAAAAAAGTTCATAAGAAAAGAGTGAAAAAAGCTGCCAATGAACTTGATGATGATTGCAATCCCGATGGTGATGATGTTCTTTGGAAAAAGAAAAGTACATTTTTTGAATTAGAGTATTGGGAGCATAATTCTCTTAGACATAATTTAGATGTTATGCACATTAAAAAGCATATGTCCGATATTTTATTAGGAACTCTTTTAGATATGGATAATAGTAGGGATGATGAGAGTGGCAGAGAAGCCCTAAAGAATTAGAATATAAAACCTCATCTATGGACCAACCCTCAAGGTTACATCCCGCCAACTGCATACACCATGTCTAACGAGGAGAAAGAACGATTTTTGAAAGTCTTGAAAAATTTTAAAGGTCCTGATGGATATGGATCTAATTTGCAAAGATGTGTGAATATAAAGCAACGGAAACTTATAAATATGAAAAGTCATGACCATCATATTCTCATGCAAGATATCGTCCCGGTTGCTTTAAGGGCTTCGAATGCCACAAGAGTTATTGACTTGCTTGAGGAGTTGTCTAACTTTTTTAAAAAGATATGTTCAACTGCTATAGTTACAAGAGAATTAGAAACCATTCAATCAATGCTCGTGGTTACTCTTTGCAAGTTTGAAAAAGAATTTTACCAACATTTTTTACAATCATGGTTCATCTACTAATTCATTTAGTGGAAGAGGTCAGACTAGGCGGACCGGTTCATTATAGATGGATGTATCATGTTGAAAGGTACTTATTATTTTATTACTATTACTATTATTATTATTATTATTATAATTATTATTATTAATAGTCTTTCTATTTGTATTATTTAATTTTTATACAATAATTTTCCCTATTCTTTCACATTCACATACAAAATTGTTACTATAATTCAACGTACTTGGCCTTTTTGAAATCTCATGTAAGCAATAAAGCGTAACCGGAAGGATCTAGAGCGGAAGGTTACCTTTTGTGGGAGACAAATGCATTTTTTTTCGAGATATTTAGAAACTGTTGAGACTATGTTCAATAGACCTAGAAGGAATGAGGATGGTGTATCAAACATTGACAACTATTTGTATAACTCTGGTGGTCGTGTTGTTGGAAAGAAAGAAAATGTCCGTTTGGATGATAAAAGTTTAAAGCAAGCTCATCGCTATGTTTTACTTCATTCTGATGAACTAACCACGGTGCTCAAGTAAGTAGCATTATGTGTTTAGTTAAAGCGTCCAATATATAAATGTTACTAACTTAAAATTTACAATCTCGATAGTGAGTTCCTAAAACTAAAGAGGCAAGAGAATGACGTTGGAGGAAGTTAAGCTGATGAATCTATTGAAAATCAGTGGATAATTGATGAATTTGCAGATTGGTTGCAAAACCAGGTCATATGCTTTTACGTTTAGGGTCTTTTTATTTTCATATTATATAACTTTCTAATTCTAACTTTATTATTCTCGAATTATAGGTCCATAATTTTGATGATAGCACAATAGATGGAAAGTTAAGAAAATCCTTAGCCGGTGGCTTGAGTAATCGCGGGAAAAACATGAAAAGTGTTATTATCAATGGATACAAATTTGATATTGTGGATCGTGAGCGATTTCGAGTAACTCAGAATTCAGGAATCATGGTGGAAGCAGAGGGTCACGAATATTATTGAAAACTCAAAGAAATTTTGGAATTAGATTATTATGGTTCTTATAAGGTTGTATTGTTTCGTTGTGATTGGGTCGATATCCGTAGGGGTACCAAAACAAATCCGAATTGAAGTGTTCCTATCAATTTCTCAAAGTTGATGCACACTGGTCGATTTTTGCGTGATGATCCATTTATTTACTCATCTCAAGCAAAACAAGATTTTTATATTGAGGATGAGATACAAAAAGGGTGGTGTCATGTTGTGAAAACTAAGCCTAGGGACTTGTTTAATATACCTGAATAATTTGTTTACAAATTTTATAATTTATTATAGATTTGAGTTCATAAATTTTGATGGGTGTGTATTTTTTTATTTTATTTAGTTATTCTAATTCATCAAAGTTTGTATTTTGTTAACTTTATTTCTGTTTTTGTTAAATGAATTCTAGAACTGAAATCATAAATTAAATTCAAATCTGAATTCAGTTCTGAACATCATAAATGAATTCTTGAACTGAAATCAGAACTTAAATTGAAATCTGAATTCAGTTTTCGAATTCAGTTTTGAATTCAGCTCTGAACATCAGAACTGAATTGCAGCTCTGAACATCAGAACTTAAATCATAGGTGAAATTCAGAATGCTTGTATGTGTGTGTGAGTGTATGAAATTCAGAGCTTGTGTGTGTGTATTTTCAAAATTCATGGCCTACAGTGTTGGGTTATTTTGTAGATTTTTTCTTAAAATTTTTGTTTTCTACTTCTCTGTTAGAACATATTGTCCACTTAATGTATCATTTCTTGTGAATTTTCAATAAAATTTATTTTTCTAAAAAGGATGATGGCTATAAAATGTGTGGGCAAACTTTGTAATGTAGGTTTTTTTTTTATTTTTTAAATTTTTTATATCCTGGATATGTTTTTATTTTATTTATTTATATTTTGGTTATCAGCTGAAAGATTATGCAAAACAGAAAAGTTGGTTGACCTTTTACTAAAGTTTGATAAATATCTTGTATCACTGTATGCCATTTGTTACTGGTAAGTGAGTTAATATTTTACATTGTGGGCTTGTGGCTATGTTATATGTTAACAGATATAACTCCAATTCCTTTAATTCTATCTTCTAATTATAAAATTGAATTTCTAATCCTTGCTCTCAGCTTGATCTGCTTTAAAAGGCATCAATACAGCCAATACTATGCTGGCCTGCTGGGACATCTTGTGCTTTTTGTTTTTCTTTTTCATTTGTTAATCTTTCTTGATGTGTTTACATGTCTTCATGCATTTTATTTACACTTGCTGGTGCTTTATATTAAACATATGGATTATGGTGTGTACTAGAAGCCTAGAAGTGCTAGAAAACTTGATTGCAGTAACTACTTGGAACTTTTGGCTGAAGATGATTGCTTCTTTTGTGCTTTATGGATTGTTTTAAACCTGAATTACCAACTCCGTTTCAAGTTTTCAGAACAGCTGTCTCTAATGCCCTAAATTTACAACCAGCATACATTATGCATAGTTTTGTCTGAATCTGTTGTTTTCTAACTGGGCATGCAGTTTCTTTGGTTAACTGATGTGTGTGTATTCACAGATGTAGAGTTTAGATTTACATATATTGTCTTGTGTTTATATCAGTTTTGACAGAATTATGTAGCTTATCTTATGCTTTTATCAGGTAAAGAGATGACTTATCTAAGCAAGAGAGCAAGGGAAATACTTGCTGCCACAGCTTAGCCGCATGATCCACTGTTAGCACAGTCACCAATTACAACTACTGCACGTGAGTCATCTACTACTGAAGTCGTTTCACAACCCACCAAAAAACATTTTGCTAAGTCTGTTAGGTCTAGGGAGAGGTGACTTTATTAATAGTTTCTGGTATCAAACTATTTTCCTATCTGAATTTTCATCTTGCTTCCCTAGCCAGAGGAGCTGGTGTATTGGTGATAACTTGAATTTTGGTAATGACTTCTCTAGTTCTAGTAAAGGAATAACTTCTAACTTGGGAGACATAATGCACTTTTCTTATTACAAAGCTTCTGCAAACTTCCTAAATACATCTATTATGTTGGGATCCATTATGTTGTGTGTTGTTATATGCTTTTCCATTCAAACATTATAATTCTATTGTTCTTGCATAATTTTTGTGCTGTTACATTAACCTTAATAAATTTACAATTTGTGTGAAAACTAGCGAGGTTATAACCCTAAATACAATATAGGTTCTGAAATTCTGACATTACTATGCTAAGGTACATATAATTGAGGGTGAGGCCTCTAAATTGTTTAATTACCTTAGAGGACCACTAATTAGTAAAATGATGATTTACTAATTACATATAATTGAGCCTATATTTTGTAATGTACAAATTTATACTTTGTATATATATATATATATATATATATATTTTGAAGATTGGAAAAGGCAATGTAGGTGCAACAAGAGAATAGGCCAGGACACTAGAGCATCAACAAGGGACTATATCGTCTATAAGTCCATCATCTATCTATTTTGGTTTTTAGTCTTATATTAGTGATGTATTTATTTAGGGACAAGCTATTATAATATGCGACTTTTTTTTTTTTAGTAATTGTGTTGATATTTTCATTTATAAATTTGGTAATTAACTACGTACTCTTATTATTGTTGATTAATTATTGATTTTTTTATTCTAGTTATATAATATATTTGTTTATTTTTATTTTAATGTTATTAATTAAATTTAATTTATTAAAAATTTAAATTACTATAATGTATGTATGATGGTAATAATTTAATAAATAAAAGGAAAAAAACATAAAAAAATTCTAGACGCTGTTTAATGTCTACATATTTGCACATTTTCAAATTTCAAAGTTTTTCCCGCCATACCATATGCTGACATGAATAAAGGCAAGACAACATAAAGCGTCGCTAAATTTGAGTATGTGGACATGTAAAAGCGTCGCTAAAAAACTACACAAAGTTGGTAAAGTACGCGAAATTAGTATTTTCCGACACTTCGTATATTAGTTTAGATACAGAAAAGCGTCGAAATTCTCGACGCTTTTTTGTGTCCCTAAAAAGTTCTCGATTCACGGATTCTCGACGCTTTTTAACGACGTTGAGAATTTTTTTTTTCGACGCTTTTTAGCGTCGAAAAAAGACCTAAAAAGCGTCCAAAAACACGCTTTTTGTAGTAGTGATTCCCCTTCTTATAGTTATTCTTAGGTTGATGATGATGAGGAGGTTTGTTTGCTTTTTCTTTAGCAAGATCATCTTCAATCCTAGTAGCCACAGAATAGACCTTTTGAAAAGTGCCTAAACCAAGGTAACGTAGATGTTTGTTGTAATTTTCTTGAAAGTTGTCAATGAACTTTTGTACTAACTCGAGTTTAGGTGGCCTTTGGGCAAGGTGGGTCGCCTTTTCTTGCCATCTACTATTGAAATCAAGGAAACGTTCATCGTCGCCTTGCTTAAGCATCTCGAGTTCACGTAAAGTTGACTTAAATTATATGTTACTCTCATATTGGGTAATGAAAGCCGAAACTAAATCTTCCCATGTTGCGTTGAATTTTGGATCTGGCCCATAGTACTACTCTCTCCCGGTTGGGTCTATAGATAAAGGGAAAGTCAAAGCATAAAGCTTAGGATCAACTCCCTTTAATGTCATGGTGCCAGTAAAACACAATGAATGGTTTTGTGGATTATTTGTCACCTTAAATATTGGCAAGTCCATAGCTATGAACTTTTTCGGTAAAGCAAGTCCTGCGGGAGGAGCAAACTATTCTGCGTCAAAGTACTTGTTCCCCACTGTAGAACGAAGAACTAGCTTCTCCTACGATATTTCTTTGATGGATAATTGTTCCAAATTTTCCTACAAGGCTTAGGTTTCAGCATTTTTCTTGTTAGCCTTTTCCATTTTCTTAATTCTTCTCTCCTCGGCCTCTTGAGCCTTTTCCTCTCTCAAACGAAGAATCTCTTGTTGAAGTTCTTCGATGGTTGGCATTGTTGTTGGACTAGGATTAGTTGTCGAAGAAAAGTGGTTTGAAAGGGGTTGATCTTTGGGTGGTAAACGTAGAATGCGAGTGCTCGGGAGTCTTCTTTCCCAAGCTTGGAAACCGGCCCTAAAGGAGTATGAAAGGATAAGTAAATCAATAAGCTTGTTTAAAAAGGGATAAAAAAAAGACGCAAAATATATTCAAATGGATAACATCACCCTTGACAATTCTTCAATGAAGATATTGTTCGGACGAGTCAATTTGTTTTTTGAGAAATCAAAATTGACTCGTTCAGTGAGCGCGCGCAAGTGACTCAGTTGCGCGCGGCTATCGCGCGCAACGAAATCTCTTGCGATGGGAGGGGTTGCGCAACTCACTGAGTTGCGCGCGCCACCTGTTCATAGGATTTTTTTTAAATTCGAGCATTTTTTTGTCATCTTTTTTTTTTCTTTTGATTTTTTTATTGCTATCCTTTGAATATGACTCTAAATCACGAAGAGACAACTTCGTAATTGCGAACCTAGACAAAACTAAGAAGAAAAAAAGAAAACTATCCTAACACGCTGCATATAGTCATATAATCACATAAGCATGCCATAAGTCAAGATTCACGCAATGCCATTTTAAGGTTAAAAAAGGCTTGGGTGTCCAAAGGTACCATATCTTAAGAAACGACGCACAAATAAATCACTCAACATTTTGTTGGCGATATGGGTGGGATGATTGTTATTGATTTCGAGATAGAAGCCTAGTGTTGGCGACCCCTAGTCAATGAGCCAATCCCTAATGGTTTAAGTGTGCTATGCTTATGCATGATGCAATGTTGCTTGTTTGGTTTTTACTTTTGTGCAAAACGAAGATATTATGCGTTCAAGTCTCGCTCTCTAACTAGAGATTGTCCAAGTTAATTCTCGTTACAACCCATAGGAAACCTAGTGTTTGAAACCTTGGATCATAACTACGAACTAATCATGTAACCTCTAAGTCCCCAGTGGAGTCGCCACTGTAAGGAGAGGGTTCCCATCATAAGGCGTCCTCTCCTTAAATGCCCTTGTTCCTTTAAAAGCCAAGGACTTTACACTTGTTAGGGTGTAGTAGGATTTGAATTCCTGACGGTTTGGGGGACCTTGAATTAGAATTGATTCTATCATTGTGCTTTTTTGTAAGAAACAAGTAGGGAGTCGCCAATGAGTTTAATGAAAACTCATAAACCTTGTTCATGCCTTTCTTCCATGTGAAGTTCATGGAATAATTAGCACGAATCATAAGTTTACCCATGCCAAAATTGTTCTATAAACCAGAAATGAGTTCGGGAGCGAGGGGAATCGTTATCCTAGCCCTAGTGCGGCCTCTACCGCTATTCCTTTTTTACAATTTCATCACCAAACAATATATGCAACCGCGATACCTAAAACTATGTTAGTTGATTATTTACACATACAAATTCACGTAGGAATTACATCGTAATGTCGTTATTCTTTATTTAATCAAATTCGTGAAAAGGAAAAGAAAATAAGCAATATTCGACTTGGCTTAAGTGATCAACCAACAATTATTTAATTCAATTATAATCTTTGTTTAGCGCAAGATACTATGTGGAATTGATTAATTAATTATTTTAAAGGTGATCAAACAACACTAATTAATTAATTAGGGTTCTTTTAAACAAGAAAATAAATGTGATTTAACTAAGTGCTCAGGAATTTACCACTTCTCTTTGCTAGATCTCCGTTTAGAATACTTATGGACTCCTTCTTGTTGGGGAACCTCCAACGTAGTAACAAAATATCAAAAGGGGTGAGTGTTTAGGACAAGAAGGGCTAGGTTGCACAAGTTCACAAGTATTTCGCCAGAGTTTTAGGTTATTTTTTTGTCTTTTTAAGCCTCGGTTTAAGTTCTTATTTATAGGGATTGATTAGGTTTAGGGTTACGAGCATTCTGTCGCAGAAGGTGTCGCGCGCAACAGGATGAGTTACGCGTGGCATCCTAACGCAAGTGATTAGGTTGCGCTGCTATGGGCAGCGCAACTAATTGTCTTGCGCGCGACTTTATGGTAAGATTCAATTTTATATTTTTCGTATAATTCTAAATCTTACGAAGCACAACTCTGGAAGTTGCACTGGGTGTCGCACACAACTAAATTAGTTGCCCGCGGTAGCCCAACGCGACTGTTTGAGATGCGCGCGGCTTTTTCTACGGCAGCATTAAAATTTAACCTTGGCGTTCCTAAATCCGTCTGTATTGGGTTTTAAGCACGGGCTTAAGCCTAATTATGATCTGGTTTAGTTAATTGAACCTTTTTTTTGGCTTTTATCTTTAATTCGGGCTAGTCTTTTGTGTTTTGTGGCTTAACCAATTCTCCATAAGTATTCTTCACTTTGATCCAACACGAAGATGGTTTTATTTATCGTCATTGCACTTCCTGTCGGGACAGGAGGCCAAAAGTAGATGTCTAAAATTTTCAACCTAACCATGGCTCTATTTCTCTAAGGTTCAAGGATAAGTTTTAGTCAAAGAGGGTCCATAGTTATGAGTTCGGATGCATCGTGAGAAAAACTTAATTTGGAAGTAGAATCGAGCAAACAGCACTAGAACTGGTCCAAAAAAGAAGGTAGATTTCTAGATCAGTATTGGAAGAACATAGCGTGAGACAATATGGATCTTGCAAGACAATGAACCTGTCACCACGCAACATTGCTGTCGCGCAGCGACAGTGCAATCACACTGCGACAGGCACTGTTTTCTTAGCGCCAGTCCCTACATGCCTTAGTAGATTTCTGTTCTTACAATTTGCTAGTTTTTCGTAGAGTTATTTCAATTCTAGTTATGAAAGATATTTCCCAAACTATTTATGTGTAAAACTCCTATGTTTTTGACGCAATACGGATGGTCTATCCAATGCGGACCTTTTTTTATGCTTATGCCAATAATGTCAATAAAAATTATGCACATGAATACTTAGAACGTTTCGAGTCTAATCCACTCATTTAAATTATTGCCAAAATTAATTTTAGAAATTAAAATAGAATTCCTCCCCAATGGAGTTGCCAAAAACTATAGGGAATATTGCAAGCATCCCACATATGAGCCCGACT